CCTCTCAGAATCGGTTCAATAGCAGTCCGAATCTGTGTCTTTGAACAGCTGTTTCTCAATTTCAGCATCAGAACTCCAACTTTCCTCGCCACATTCAGAATCGGTTGAATAGCAGTCTGAATCTGTGTCATTGAACAGCTGTTTCTCAATTTCAGCATCTTCCATATGACATCGTCGTGTATACGGCTCTCTAGCAGTGAATCTCTGTGCTTAGACCACGATAAGAAGCTATAAATCTTAACCTCGAGCCCACACATACAAAAATCTCATTCACGACTTGGCTGAACCCAATATCTACTTCATGATGTCATTGGTGGCTAAACTTATATTGCGATGTTTCAAAATCGTTACAAGCACAATGGTTTGACTGCAATGAATGAATGAATGACCGATCTGGCAACACCATATTCCGAGAATTAACTCCCGTATCTTTCTAAAACATTACACAGTGAGCGATATCAGATGCATACAGTCATGCATACCGAAATGTCCCATACGATAAATAAGCGTCAACAAGAGACATCATTGAATGTGAAGTCGCCACAAGGCCTTACAATGCTAAAACGCATGGTGCAGAAAATGTATTACACTGCTAGAATGCATGGTGCAGAAAATGTATGAATTTCGGGAATTTTTTTTGGGAATCAGTGTAAAAAATTTGTACAGATATTAAAATCTGTAAATTAGAATATCTGATTCTATATTCTTTCTACATTAAAGGAGCGTTCATTTCGTTCGTTTATCATAAAAAATGTAGAAATCACACCATTTTTAGAAACATGCTTACAATTTCATTGCCCTAGAAGGGCGGGCATTTAAATAAACTCCGTCCAGCTGCCATTACCGGAAATTAAATGGCCCATCCGATAAAGGTTAAGCAGTGACTCTGTAAACAATGACCATTTCTGGGTGACGGCTTGGTAAACACATTCTCATGGCAACGAATATGCATACAACAGTAGAGTTAATGTTGGAAACGTGATATTTTCTATGATGTCTGTGCCATGATGTTATAACCAGGACAGCTGAAGCAATGAGTTTAGTTGTGAGTAGTATTAGCCAGCAGGAAACAGTGTGAGCACAGAAGCTGAAGAATCTCCTTTGTTGATAGCTGTTACCAGGCAGTGACTAGGGAAGACTGTAAAAGACCGAGGCTTAGTGTGTGCTGTAGCTATTTGTAAAGTGGGTAGATCAGTGATAGCTCTGTCATTACTTGTAGTTCCAGGTCATGTATATAAGTGGTCAGTAAATTCATACACCAATCAAACCCCTGTCTATAGTCACATATGCTACATGATGATATACGTAGGCTAGTCAAATGAAAACCTTAAATATTTTTTTGAGTATTAATTATTGTGCACAAGTGGTACAAAGCTGTATCACTTTTCAACACAATCCCCCCCACATTCAATGCAAGTCCTCCAGCGCTTACAAAGTGCATGAATTACTTTAGAAAAAAATTCTTTTGGTAGTCCACGCAACCACTCATGTGCCATGTGGCGTACCTCTTCATCAGAATGGAACGTCTTTCCTCCCATTGCTTCTTTGAGTGGATCAAACATATGGAAATTACTTGGGGCAAGGTCTGGTGAGTATGCCGGATGAGGAAGACGCTCATAATGCAGGTCATTGATTGTCGCAACTTTTGTACGGGCAGTATGGAGCCTTGCGTTGTCATGTTGCAAAAGGATACCTGTGGACAGTAATCAATGTCGTTTTGATTTGATTGCAGGCCGAAGATGATTTCTCAGGAGATCTGAGTGTGATGTACTTGTAACAGTGGTCCCCCTAGGCGTGTAGTGCTCCAAGATGACGCCTTTTTCAACCCAAAATAGTCAGCATAACCTTCCCTCCTGATGGTTGTGTTCGAAACGTCTTCGGTTTTGGAGATGAGGAATGGCGCCATTCCTTGCTCGCTCTCTTCATTTCCGGTTGGTGAAAGTGAACCCAGGTTTCATCCCCAGTAACGATTCTTGCAAGGAAGTCATCACCTTCTCGTTCAAAGCACCGCAGAAGTTCTTCACAAACATCAGTACATCGGTCTTTCAATTCAGGAATCAGCTGCCATGGCACCCATCTTGCAGACACTTTGTGAAACTGGAGCACATCGTGCACAATGTGGTGTGCTGAACCATGACTAATGTTTAAACTTGCTGCAATTTCATTCACTGTCACTCGTCGGTTTTCCCTCACTATGGCTTTAACTGCTGCAGTGTTCTCTGGAGTCACAACTCGATATGCCTGACCCGGACGAGGAGCATCTTCCACTGAAGTCACACAATTTGCAAACTTCCTACTCCATTCGTACACTTGCTGCTGTGACAAACATGCATCATCATACTGAAACTACATTCTTCGATAAATTTCAATAGGTTTCACACCTTCTCTACTCAAAAACCGAATAACAGAACGCTGTTCTTCCCTGGTGCTGTGACGGGGATCGTGCATCTGCACTATGCTGCAACCTACAGGCCATTCTGCACGCTGTTTGTAGCACGCTTACCAACTTACAGGATAATGGCGCAAAATTTTGATTTTTTATTACAAATTTAAGGTTTTCATTTGACTCGTCCTCATAGTGTGTGTATATCTTGTCTACATAATAGTATCATTAGTATTGTGCCAATGGTTTAGCCGGATGCTTGAAAACTTCCTTCTGGATATGTCTGTGTCTGGTGCTGTAACCCCAGTGCCCATGTGCCTCCTCCCTATTTTTTTTCTCCGTCCCACCTTCGTCTTTCTCCGCCATACCCTGGGCCATCTCTGAAACTCACTGCAGTTTTGGATCTGACTTGGGGAGGTTGGTTTAAAATTTGGTTTTGCTCTTATAAAATTATTTTGTCTGTGTTCTGTCTCCTGATCAGTGCAATCTGTTTCCTGCATGATTACCAAGGTTTGGTATTTAGTTTTTATTTTTTATACCTCAAGTGGACAGACTATGTATATGTTGTAACAGGGATTTTGTGGTCTTTTCTGCGCTTGCCTGCTGTCTGGTACTCTCTTGTGGAGTCAGGGTCAAATAACTCCACCATAACCCTGCAAGTTATAGGAGGTGATGAAAAGGGAAATCTCGAATCTGAGACAGTAAAATATGGCCATGAGTCCAGCGGAACTCAGACCTGAAAATGACTGCACTGGCAAGGACCAGCAGCAGTTGTAAACGACAGACCCATCCCCTTGTCAGAGAGAGCACCCCACATCAACATACCCACAACTGTCTGACAGTAATTAAAATCTGGTCATAATCCCCATATGAGTGCTATATTCCAAGAGAGAGACTCAAACTGACTGTTGATCATAATATAAGATTGAGACTCAGACTTATATTAATATTTATATTAATCTCTTTGATATAGTTTACTTTGTGCCCTCCCCCTCTTTTAATTGTGCCTTCACACTGCCAAGATCCACAGCCAGGCCCTGCTGCATTCTACCAAGATAGGTGAAGAGAGGGGGTGATGCAGTACTATACAGAGTGGGGCTCAGAAACTTCCTTTTTTGAAGGCGAATAAAAGAAAAATTATTGCTGATAGACAGAATTTATGTTCAGCTAATGTAAGAACATACTTTAAAGTTTTAAATCATATAGTTTTAAACAAAATATCTTGAAGGTGGTGGCCACCGTTTTCTATACACTGATGCAACCGTTTTCTGAAGTTCCCTTCTGCACATTCCAACATGTGCACCAGAATTTGGCCTACTTCCTGCCGAATAACATTCTTTAGCTGAAACAGGTTTGTGGGGCGATGTTTAAAAACCTCTGCCTTGAGGTATCCCCATAAAAGAAAATCACAGGGCATTAGATCAGGTGAGTGCGCTGACCACAGGCTGTCACCTTGAAGCGAGATGAGCCATCCGGGGAACTTTGCCCTCAAAACTGTCATTGAAGCTCGGGCTTTGTGGGCTGTGGCACCATTCTGTTGGAACCAGACATTTCCTAGATGCATTTCTTCAAGAGCTGGTTCGAAAAAGTTTTTAATCATGTCCACATACCTCTGTGAATTGACGTAACTGCATGATTGTTTTCTTTCAAAAAAATAAGGGCCAATAACTCCAACTCTCGACAGTGCACATCATACTGTCACCTTATCACAGTGAAGTGGACTCTCATGGAGCTTTCTGGGATTGTTACCACTCCTATAGCACATATTCTGCCTGTTGACATATCCGGATAGGTGAAAGTGTGCCTCATCACCAAAGAAAACAAGTGCGTCATGGGGTAAAGTTTCCAATAACGTTTCGCATGCCATTATTCGGTTCTGGAAATCACGTGGTGACAATTCTTGCACAACAACCATCTTATAGGGATAGAAATTAAGATGTTCATGAAGAATTCGGCGCATTGAACAATTGGATATGTCTAGGGCGACTGCATGTTTCCGAACAGAGCGTCTTGGAGATCTCAAAATCGACTGTCGAACTGCCTCCACATTTTCTGGCATCGTAATGGTCTGTTGTCATCCTGATGATTTTTTCACCACACTCCTGGTTGTCCTAAAGTTCTCTACCCACAAAACAATCGATTTCCGGTCGGGAACTGGACCTCTGGGCTTAATTCCGAAGTGAGTACGGAACGCACGCTTCACCACCATGTAGTAATGGTTGTTTGAAAAATAGGCTTCAACAGCAAATGCACGCTGTTCACTCATCCACCTCATGTTTCCTACTGAGGGGTATTAGACAGAAACTTCAACGACTGCTGCGTTCACCAAGTCTATCCCCACTTTTCTGCGACCTCCGCTCCCTTCACAATGCATCTTCACAAAAAGGAAGTTTCTGCACCCCACTCTGTACAAAGAACATCACAGTCAAGTGATTAATCATCCTGTGTCATATTTTGGTCCTGGGTTCAATTCTTGGTCCAAGAACTGTCTAGACTGCAGTTTCTTCTGGTTTTCTTCACTCTCTCCAGATACATGCTGAAATGGGGCTGGTATGCTTTTCACATTCACTTTATTTTAAATTCCATACATCATTTCAGGTCATGCATGCCATAGGATATAGAACATGTCAAAATACATAAACACATAAAAGCAAAGGACCCATTAACATGCAATACAGTCACAGTACAAAATTTGTACATAAAATATTCAAATATGATCAAATTTATGCAGATATATGCTTATCGTTGTCACAATCATAAATTAATACAAAAGACCTATTCGTAATATAGATGTTTGATTCAATTATCTCCATCACATAACTACAAATACTTAATTTAACAGTCCAAATATAATACATTTCACAGGAATTAAAAATTAGAATATATAATAAAAATTCAGTATATACAATTAGTCATTTCATAGCAAGAACCTTAAAATTTGAAAACTATTAATTAACATATTCCTCTACAGGATAAAAGGAAATGAGCTGTAAGTAAACCATTCACGACCATCTTAATCGTTTACTGTCATGTGTTATTTAAAACAGATGGTCTATTTCAATACCATACTTCCCTAAAATTTATACCCTTAAATGCCCAATTACTAGACAGTGGGTAATACATTCAATTCAATTCAATTCAATTTATTGAAACATTCCATTGATCCTTAATGGTACAATAATGACCAGCAAATGTGGAATTAGTCGCAGACAAAACCAGACAAGTCGCATCACTTTAACAAATACAAATAGAAATACATTCATGATTCATCTCCACAATACAGTATCTCAAACATTGTTCTGATATCTAAAAGCAGATTATTTATTAGGACATTGCATCAATTATTACTTACAAACAATACCCAGACAACAAACAGGTCATAGATGCCTTCACACTTGATAACCAGGATGCAGATGGAAACGTGTGTACATCGTATGACAGCTATATGTTTTAAATGTTAAAACTAATGTACTGATAGTACTAAGATGTGATGAATATATATGAGCAAATTATAAGTATCATAAAAAAGTATACTTTGTAGGGAGTATAACCCATGTGTTTAGTTTACTTTACAGTTAAAATATTCATCCAAGGAATAAAACGAATTTGGAAAGAAGAAGCCTTTTAGCATCAGTTTGAATAGTTTAATTTCATTACTCAGACTTTTTATATGAGGTGGAAGATGATTATAAGCTCTGATAACAGAGTAGTAGGGTCCTTTTTGGAAAACTGTCAAACGTGATGTAGGAAGGTGCAAGTTTGTACTATGTCTAGTACTGAAACTATGAATCTCATAATTCGATTTGTACAGATCTTTATTTTTTATGACGAAGAGTATTATCAAGTATATATATTGTGAATACAGTGGCAATATATTTAATTTTTTTAATAGATCCCTAGAGTCTCTAGTTTTTGCATTCATAATAACTCTAATTATCCGCTTTTGTATCCTAAAGACATTGATACTGTTAGGCGTATTACCCCAGAAAATTATACTGTATTCCATAATAGAATGCACATAGGAGAAATAAATCATCTTAAGGGTGTCTTGTGACATAAAACCTTTTGCTGTCCTAATAGCATAACAAGCTGAACTCATTTTATTTGCTAATTGGTCAATATGAAGTTTCCGTGATAATGTTATGTCGATATGTAAACTGAGAAACTTAATATTTGACGTTTTAGTAATATGCTTGTTTCCACAGCATATACTGATATTGGTTTCTAACTATTTTTTGTCCTGAATAAAAGGTAATGAGTTTTTTTTAATTTAAAGATAACAAATTGTCTTTAAATCATTCATTTATGGCTACAAGTTGTTTATTCATATTAGTTTCAAAATTCAGAATGCTAGGATTAGACATTATGACGCTTGTGTCATCAGCATATAGGATGATTTTTGCATTGCTCCCTTCCACATCCTCTGGTCTTCACAGTCATTCTATCCCTTAATGTTAGATGATCTTAATACAGGGTGTTTCAAAAAGAGCTTTACAAATTTGAAAGCTTATATAAATTTATACAGAGGACGTACACAACGTTTTGAACTGTCATAATATAGCAAAACAAACACAGTTTTACCTTGAATAGTTATGGTTCAGTGTGACTGCCATTGGTAATGGGGCAGACGTCCCACCTGTAGTCAGTCTCTTGCCACACGCTACATAGCATCTCTGGCGTCACTTCTGCAACTGAGGCAGTAATTCAAGTTTGGAGCTTAACAACATTTGCAGGCAAAGATAGTATGAACACTCAATCTTTAACGAATCCCCATAAAAAAAATCCAGGGGAGTAAGATCCAGGGAATGAGGTGGCCATGCTATCGGCGCCACTCTATCAATCCACCGACCTGGGAAACAGGTGTTGAGGTACTCACCCACATCTCCAAGGTAATGAGGGTGTGCACTGTCTTGCTGGAAGTGAATGCGTCCTTCTTGGTCATCATCGTCTAACTGGAATGAGGAATTCTTGGAGCATGTCCCGATATATGATACCAGTAATCGTCGTCTCCATGCAGAAGAACGGGCCGTACACTTTTTCTTTGCTGAGGGTGCAAAACACGTTCACCTTTGGGCTATCACAATCATGTTCCAGGGAGACACGTGGATTTTTGCTGCCTCATATCCTGCAGTTGTGGGTATTGACCTTACCGCTGACATGAAACGTGCTCTCATCACTGAAAATTACGGAGTCCAGAGACTTCTCATCGTCTTGTATCCAATGAAACATTTGCATACAGATTCCTTACGAACCACCTTATCTGCATCTGTAAGGTGTTGAACGATGGGTAGTTTGTACGCTTTTGAGTGTAAACATTTTCGTAACACTCGCCACACAGTAACATTTGGAATACCAGTTTCCCGAGATGCACGTCACTTTGACTTTCGTGGACTTCGAACAAAGGTCTCCCTAATCTGTTCTACTGTAGCGTCAGAAACACGTGGCCAACCGGCTGGCTTGGCATGGCGCACAGAACATCCAGTCTGAACAAAATTCTTGTGCCCGGAGTAAATTCTACGCCTACTGGGAGGTTCCTTGCGATACTGAGTGCGAAATTTCCTTTGAATTTCTGTAGCAGACTTCGTTTCTTCAAACCAAAACATACAACGAGCATGCTCTGCACCTGTGAAAGTAGCCATCTTGAGTTCAACTGCGGGAGCGTTCGTGGTGGCAGTATGGGGTACTACAGTACCACGTGCATGAAACTTGGTATGTTTTGCCACATTATGACAGTTCAAAACGTTGTGTATATCCTCTGTATAAATTTATATAAGCTTTCAAAGTTGTAAAGCTCTTTTTGAAACACCCTGTATTATCAAATATGTCTTTAAATAGTTCAAGAATCTATCATTATTATTGCAGTTGTAATTTTGCTTGTTTCCTCTTTCCAGACTCTGGGTCCATGAGGCAGTAAGAGTGTTTTATGACCGCCTAACAGATAACAAAGATAGGCACTGGTTTTACAATAGACTGCGTCACTGTGTCCGAGAAAATTTCAAGGAAAACTTTGATCTGTCACTAGATACACTTCCCATGGAGAGTGGTATGGTAAGTCAGCTTCAGAAGATGTATAAGTAATGGTTCCATTTGTGACTTAGAGTCTGGTCTCAGCTTTGATGCACATCCTAGACATCACATTGCCGACATTTGTCTACACCATAAACAGGGTGTATGAACTCTTGCCATGTGCATGCAGTGGTTTATAAAGCCTGTGTCTTTTACAGTTTTAATTATCTTTGCTGAGTGCTTAGAAGGTCTTCATGGAGCAGTGTTTGGCACTCAGCCAGTCACAAATTCCTTGCCTTGTAAGGAACATAATAGTTCATTACTATATTCACAGTTGTGCACCACTGGTCGTTTTGCTTAGTGAAATGAACATCTTCCACCCCCTCACACACTATGAATTTCCATAACTTCTTTCCTGATTATCATGAGATATCTCAGGTTGATAAATCTTGTGAAAAAATATTATCCCAAATTAAATCAGGGATGATTTTTTCTCCCATCCTCTAATCATTAAACCAAGTAACTTGAACCATATTTATAGTAGGTATATTTCATGCCATATCAGCATATGGGTCTGAAGTTTGGTCTTTCACATCATGATAATGATATAGAGTGCGATTTTATGATAACTGGGTGCAAGGGAGAATATTTGGACTTAAGAGAGAGGAAGTAACAAGAGATTAGAAAGAACTGCATAATAAGCTTCATATTTTGTACTCTTCACTGAATATTATTAAGTTGATTAAGTCAAGGAGAGTGAGAATTACTCAGTTTCAAGCTCCAGTCTCAGATGGAAAAAAAAAAAGATTAAAGTGACTCATAAAGATAATGGTATGAAGGTGGGGACTGTATGCGTCTAGCTCTGGATATGGGTAACTGGTGACTTCTTGTGAATTCTACTAATAAAGCTTCTGGCTCCATAAATGTACCTGAATTTCTGGATCAGTGGAAACTCTATTTATCAGGAATCTCTATGCAATATCTTGAATACTGTAAGGTGAAGTTCATGTTCATATATTTATACATGTTGTTGGACAGTGAATGAAAAAATATTTTGAAAATTTCAAACATTTGTTGTCCTCTTTTTTCTGTTAACTTGTTACAGCATAAATAAAAGTGCTCAGGAAGCCAACAGCCGATAATATTGTTGTTCTTCAAGTATATTAATATATGATGACCGCTGTATATTTGTACTTCAGGTAACTGAAGAGTCTCTCAGATCTCTAATGTTTGGAAACTTCATGGATGTGGATGCTACAGATGAAGAAAAGAAATATGAAGAAATACCGTCCCTTGAAGCATTCAAAAATGTTGCAGAGGAAGCTCTGGAAGAATATAATGCAACCCATAAGACAAAAATGGATATTGTTCTGTTTAGGTACTGGGCATTCATGTAACTTACCTTTCCTTTGTTACTTTTCAGGACTGTAAGGTTTTTGAATACCAACTGTGACAATATGAAAATACTGTCCAGCCTCTTATATGTTTGTCTGTAATAACATATTCCAGAAGGATAAATGAAATGAAGAACTGAAGCTCTCTACAAGAACTTGCATACATACTTACATACATACATATATTTCACATTTAACAAGTCCAAAATACAATGGACATGAAACTGGTCACAAGCATAGCCCAAGCAAACAAAGCAGAAAGACAGAAGAAAAGCTAAACAAACACTGTAACTAATTATTTACTGTATGGTCCAAAAATTAATCAACTCTATAAAATGAATTATTCATGAGATATGAAAATAAATTATTTTTCAAACTAATTCCATCCTTTCCAAGACTTTGAATAGTCTTTGGCAATCTATTAAAAAGCCTAATACCAGTAAACATAGTGCCCTTCTGGAAAACAGAAAGATTTGACGTTGGAATATAAATTTGATTTTTGCTTCTAGTGTTCAGGCCATCAGAAGTATCACTTTTAGTCTTCTTCCATCTATAATGCAACGATATCAATATATGTAAGATTTGAGGTTTTCATGGCGGTGGCTATGAAGAAATCCATCTCCTGGGATGTGGTGCCATGTAGAAATTGTGTTAATCCACGTTTCAGAGGAATGTATCGCCTCCATCTTCAGGGTTGAAGACAAGAAATCTGTGAGCAAACCAGCTAGAGCAGGTGCAACAGAATGTCTGTTGAACACAACTAGACTCATAAATCTGAATAAAAGCTGCTGACTTCAAGAAGAAACTAACTGAATAAATATAATGTATAACATGTTTTCTGTTTTTCATTTTCTTTCACAGTTTTGTAGTAAGACAATTAAAATTAATTCATAAAATCAAATTTTCTGTGCAGACCTACGTATTTCCTAGTGTGTGTGGTTGTCTTACATTAAAATCAGAAACTTCCACTGTGATAAATATGACAGGGCAATGAAAGAATGGCTAGTATTATTAATTATTACATGGAAAGAATTGTCTATTTGAGAAAATTCTTAATCTCATATGATTTTCAAAATTTGTGTCTTGCTTTATTTTGAACTGGAAACATCACACTTCTGTCTTCTGCTGTCTTCTCCAGTATTATATGTAGAAATCAATATGGATCCTGTCATTTTAGTGACAGTGGCCAGTGAACTTAAGTTTTTGGAAGGCTTTACAAAATTGTCTGTGTGTGAATATTTTCTGCAGAAATTTGGATCAGTGTACAATGCATTAGAACCGCCTCTGTGGTCTAGTGGTGAGAGTTCCTGGCTACAGATCCAGGGGTCCAGGTTCGATTCCCGGCGCTACCAGATTTTTCTTCTGAGAAGTGGTGGGTCTGGAATGGGGTTCACTCAGTCTTGTGATGATAATTGAGGAGGTATTTCAAGGAAATAGCAGCTCTGGTCTAGAAAACCGAAATTAACGGCCATGGGGATTCGTTGCACTCACCACGTGATACCCTCTATCCGCTAAAGTTGGCACTAACTTCGCCGACAAGCGGTGGTTGCTCAGTGGGTATAGTTCGCTTGCAGACTAAAAGCACGGAGTTTACTTATTTATTTATTTTTTTTGTACAGTGCATAAGAAGAGCTGTTGTTAGATGAATCCATGATCCTGATGCATATAAAAGCAATATTTTTGCATGTGAACATTTTCAGGTACTCATTGGAACATCTGTCGCGTATCTGTCGCATCCTCAGCATGCCCTGTGGTTCTGGCTTGCTTGCTGGTGTGGGGGGCTCAGGAAGGCAGTCCCTTACAAAACTTGCTTCAGTCATTCATGGAAATACTTTCTTCCAGCCAGAAATATCTAAAGCATATGGTATGTGTATGACCATAAATATATTGTGATAGAGGCTACACTTGGGTATGTTGTCTTTTTTATAATGTTTTAATTTTTCTGTGATATTAATCCTTTGCACTTAATTGTCCTGTATGTCCTCAAAGTGGTAGCATTGTATGCATTTTATCCTGGGTATATGTGCATAATGTTATGTTGAGCAATTATGGAATGCAGTTGGTTGACTGTAACCAGACACACTTAGGATGCTTCTTATGTTCTCAGCTCATATGATTATGGATTCAATTTTTTTATGAAGAACTGTGTGTTTGCTTCATAGACTGGCAGAAGGCATTTGACCGTGTAAACTGGACCAAATTAATGCAGATCCTAAAGGAAACAGGTATCGATTGGCGTGAAAGAAGATTGATCAGCAAATTGTACATGGATCAGAAAGTTAGAGTACGACTGGACACGGGGGAGACAAGAAGTGTGCAGATTGGAAGAGGAGTTCGACAAGGATGCTGTTTATCACCAATTCTGTTCAACTTGTACAGCGAATGCCTTACCAAGGAAGCTCTGGATGGGCTCGGAGACTTCAAAGTAGGAGGGCAAATTATTCAAACTGTGAAATATGCAGATGACCTTGTGTTAATGGCTAAGGAAGAAACTGTGCTACAGGGCATGATTGATAGACTAATTGAAATTGGAAGGTGCTATGGCATGGAAATGAATGTGGAGAAAACAAAAGTAATGAAAATTTTGAGACAACCAACCCCAGTCACAATAAAGATAGACCAAAAACAACTGGAGAATGTGAAATGTTTTAAATATTTGGGTAGCTTGTTAACAGATGATGGAAGGTGTACTTGTGAAATTAAATCCAGGATTGCCATGGCAAAAGCTGCATTTAGCAAGAAGAAGAATCTTTTTACCAGCAAATTGGACTTAAATTTGAGGAAGAAACTAGTGAAATGCTACATTTGGAGCATAGCTCTGTATGGGGCTGAAACATGGACACTTAGGGCAGTAGATCAGAAACATCTGGAAAGTTTCGAAATGTGGTGTTGGAGAAGAATGGAGAAGATCAGTTGGACCGATTATGTGAGAAATGAAGAAGTGTTAATTAGAGTCAGTGAGCAGAGGAATATCCTACACGAAATAAAAAATGGAAGGCTAATTGGATTGGTCATGTTTTATGCAGAAACTGCCTTCTAAAAGAAGTTATTGAAGGAAAGATAGAGGGGTGGATAGAAGTGACAAGAAGACGAGGAAGAAGGCGTAAGAAGATGCTGGATGACCTTGGGGACAGAAGAGGATACTGTCATTTGAAGGAGAAAGCTCTAGATCACATTAAGTGGAGGAACTGTTTTGGAAGAGACTGTGGACCTGTCGTCTGACAGATTACTGATGATGATGGTGATGTATACATTTAAATGTGCTTTTCAGCACTGCCAATTATCTGATCATTACCATGAACCCAACAGATATGGTTCTAAAATGGTTTGAAGTTCATGACTGTAAAATGCTTGTCAAATATGATTTCCAGTGTTTACATTAACTCCAGCAATTTATGAAGGAATGTTGAAAGACTTCTGTGTCCTTAAATGACTATGAATAACTCTTCTCTAAGGAAACTGTGACTTTCATAATGTTATCATATGAATCTTGAAAAACATAATAGGGCAAATATTTAATTCATATCTTTTTAGTGAAGAATGATTTTCTCTGTCTAGTAAACACTTGGCATTTATTAATACCACTGTTGGTTAGAAGTGAAAGTTCATTTTTATTTGTTACTTTCCATTCAGTATTAACCATTAATTATTTAGGAGTACATGTTCTCATAGAGACAGACTTCATTCTAGTTACAATGATCATAAAATATACTGTCACAATAGTAACAAACACCAAATTACATTGAAATATTAGGCATGTATTAACCATTTCTGCTCTGCTATTAAATCAATTTTAANGTTGTGTGCGTTCCTGTTTCAACCCTTTGGCGATTAGTGAGATGGCCGACCAGAAGGAACAAAGAGTGTGCGTGAAATTGATGAAGATCGTCGAAAGACCATTGACCAACTTTCTGAGGAAACGAACATCTCATGGAGCACGGTCCAGCGAATTTTAACAGAAGGTTTGCACATGAGACGGGTGTCTTCAAAATTTGTTCCTCGCTTGCTCAGAGATGACCAAGGAGAAAACCGCGTGAATTGCTGCGACTTGAAGAGTTAAGTGCAGTTTTCCCTAACAAAAAGCAAAATTTCATGCACACTCTTTGTTCCTTCTGGTCGGCCATCTCACTAATCGCCGAAGGATTGAAACAGGAACGCACACAACAGAGCACCACAGACAAACCACTTAACTCAGACTGACGCCAGCTCATTAACAGTCGTGGGAGACCCCCAGCTAACACCACCTAGCAGCACAACTCGTAACTACAAAGCATGCGCGTGCAACAGGTCGTTTCCGGTTATTTTTGGATCCCCCTTCGTATAATTCAGCCCAGTCAGTGGATACTGAATGGCAAAGAATGAGAGGAAGTCTTCAATTTAGGATCCTTCCCACTGTGTTCTCAAACGAGAAAGAAATTCTGGAAGTTACCAGGTTGGCAGTAAAAATACAGTATATCTGATACTGTAGTCTGAAATTTCATTGTCAATAAAATAACCTTCCTTTGGACCCTGGTATGAGCCAGTTTATTTCTATCTATATTTTAGTAATCATAAACTTACAGGAGTTAATGAATGGAGGGCTGACCTGAAGAAAGTACTCAAAGAGGCTGGTGGCTATGGGAAAGAAACAACGTTTCTGTTCAGTGAAGGCCAGATAAAGGAGGAAGTGTTTTTGCAGGACATAGACTCACTACTGAATTCAGGCGAAGTTCCAAATTTATATGCCGTGGATGAGCAGCAGGAAATTTTGGAAGTAAGATTTCTTAGACATAGTTTAAAAATGAGGCTGTTCCTAATCTATTCATCAAATGCAATTTTCATTTAATTTGAAGAAAGCAGTCTTTTGGGATGTGGCACCATGTAGATGTGGTGTTAACCGATGTTTCGGAGGAACATATCTCCTCCATCGTCAGGATAGGAGGAAAAATAAGAAATCTGCAAGCGAAGAGGCCGTGAGAACCGGTACAAGCAGACTGGCGATACGTTCTTCCGAAACGTCAGTTAACACCACACCTACACTGTGCCACATCCCACAAGACTGCTTTCTTCATGGTCACCACTGTGAAAACCTCAAATCTTCATTTAATTTGTTTGCATAATTCCTACCAACAGAGTTCTCAAAATCTTTGTGCTGGATTAGTTTAGTAAATACCTTTTATCGTATGAGGTTCTCCCAGTGGTGAATATTAAATTTACCATCTTTAGTGAAGTGTTGTTGTGTATTTCTGGTAGACAGGTACCAGAACTTTGGTGGAACTTGTTAGTTCCATCTTCAAACTAGAAGAAGTCTTAAAGGTCAGAAGAAGATTTCTTCTACTATGAAGATGGAGGCATCAGGTTCCTCCAGAATATTGTTACCTGTCAACCACATTATACAGTGCCATATCCCACAAGACTGTACTATAATTATCACCATATTTTAATAAAGCATTAGTTAATTAATTTAGAACTGCGGTTAAATTTTCTGGGATATAACGCCATGTATTTGCTATCTGCTTCATGCTAGTTTCTTGCTTGTCTTATCCATCAACACTGAAGATTTTGATCATGTGGCATTATATTGCAGAAGACAGAACTCATAACAACCACTGTAAAATCCTCAAATCCTACACAGAATTGAGGTTTTCACAGTATGTAGTTAGCTGCTGAGTTTCTTAGAAATTAACTGCATATTTTGCTCAAGTTTTTATTAGTTTAGCACGACTTGATTTGTTCTAGTACTGAGTTATATTGCAATAATTTTATATAATATTATTTCTAAAAGATAAAATTGATGACCTTGAAATAAATAGTAGGGTGAAACATTTTGGAAACTTGTGTAGAAGTGACACCACCTAGAAGTAACTTGGTGGAAGATAAAAATGGAATTCCACTTGCAGGTTCATATAATACTTTGAATAGGAGAATGAAATACTTCAGTGATTATTACCTGAACCTAGCTGTTTTCAGGTTGAAATTGCTGTTGAAAAGTTGGAAAGTTATAATTTTCCAGGTATTACTCTAATTTCTGCAGGAATAATCTAAGCAGGAGATAAACCATTACACTCCTCTGCTTTCAGCTAGTGAGGTTAGCTGCTCAAGGAGGTAACAGAAATCTGGACATTAGTGCACTAGCAGTTTTCTCATTCTTTATCAACCGTTGCAAACAAAAGCTGCACATCATGTTGTGCTTTAGCCCTATTGGTGCATCATTTCGCAGCTGGTTACGATTGTATCCATCATTAGTTAACTGCTGCACCATTGATTGGTTCATGGTATGTACTGATTTACTCTTTTATTAATAATTTTGTCAGTGAAATAATGTTCTGCTGATAGAAGAACCATGTATCATATTCATCCATAGGAAGATTTTAAAAGTAAATTTTTAATATATTAACTTTCTACTTAAGCAAAGCTAGATGGAATGTGATATAACAGAAG